CATGGAGGATGTGGCGGGCGGCTCCACGGCAACTGCGGCAGCATGGTTGGCGACATCGAAACAAGGCGAATCTGCTGCTCGTGCGTCGCAAGAGCTGGCAAGCGCAAAGAGATACCAGCTGAGGGTGCTGAGGGTGCTGGGGCGGGACCATCTCAACGCCCGACGAAGAAGAAATTTCTTCCGGCTGCGATGAGGAAGATGAAACGGAAGATGGCGGTGGCGGTGAGAACACGGGGCGCGAGCGCCGTGCTCCACCGGCTTATAGTGAGCTGTCACCTCACTTCGGCGTCCTGGAATCGGCAGCAGATGAGAGTGGCAATGGAGACGCGGCGTTCCATCTGCAGAAAGCAAAAATGGCGATGATCGCAGCGCATGCCGCTAAGCGGGTGCGCCAGGCAGACATGAGAGAGTTTGTCGAGACGTAGTGAAGGCGGCGGGTGTACGTGGTTGTTTTTTTTTCCTTGCAGTCAGCTTCCTATGCGCCTTTCTCGTTTTTTTTGTTTTTTTTCCCGCAACATCGCAGCGGGTGCGCCGGGCAGTCATAAGGGAGTTTGTCACGACGTTAGCAAGGGTGCGGGGTGCATGCTTGCTTGATTTTTCTTTGCAGTGACCTTCCTGCATGTTTTTCTCTCTTTTTTACTTGCGTTTTTTTTTCTTGCAACATAGCAGCCGGTGCGGCAGGGGTCAGATAAATTGGCACGACGGAGTGAGGTTGCGCCTGGCTGGTCGTGTGTGTGTTGGTTCTTGCTAAATCGAAGCCAGGTGCGCCAGGGAGACATGAGAGTTTAATCATCACGTAATTATGGCGAGGGCCAGCAGTACATGGTTGCTCGTGTTTTTGCAGTGGGCTTTCTGTCGTATTTTTTTTATACACGCAAGTCTTGTTCTATCACCAACATCGAGGGAAGGCAGGCAACGAGGACTGAGAGTTAGCTTCGTCCACTATTAATCCACAATCTCGATCCATTTCGTACTCTGTTGGCCCCGCAAAGCGCGGACGCCACACTCACAACGTGAAGTCGAAGAGTGCCTCAATAGTGCAGAGCCTGCACTATTGAGGAATATTCAAAGCCCCAATAGTGCAGAACCTGCACTATCGAGGGCACCCTTTTCAGTAGTGCAGGTGCCTGCTATAGTGCAGGTAAATTATCACGACAGACCCCTGCACTATATAGGGCCCACTACTGTAATATAACATTCTCTCCAGTTCTCTACTCGGTCAACGACAATGTCGGGGAGAAGCCCTCCGCTACGTCGTGTATGCTTTATAAATCCTGCCTTTACAGCAACACGTCGCAGTTTCGTTTGACAGCCTGCTGGAGTTTATTGCTGTACACCATCTTGTTCGAAGTAAGCATAGGATTCTGACATACATCATTGTGATGTGTGCCCTTGGCACCCGCGTTTAGGACGAATCAATATAACTAGTTGTGACACACATGCTGCTTGGGTCAAGTATATGTTTCCCTATTCCGAAACAATTGCACGCGCAGGGTAGTCGTGTTTGTTGATGAGGAAAACGGTGATGTTGACAACATTCCGAGCGACGGAGAGGGGCTAGACGGGAACGATGAAACCAGTGACGAGTCGGACGCTGACAGTGATGTGAGTAAAACAATCTGATTCGTTCAAGTACGAATCATTTCATCTCCTACATAGGTTTTCTAGTATTAGGAACACCAATGTGCGCGAAGGCTTATTTTTGGAAGTGCCTCCTGAATGCAGGCTTGTAGGTAATGTACTGTAGTTTGGACCAAGGTTATGTCCTTAATTTCCGGAAGGCGGATCAGCCAAGGATCAAGATGTGTCTACCCCCTCGCAATATTGACGAAGGTATTAACGCAGCACCGGCACTTTCATCTCAATACAATAGCTTCGAGAGGTGGATCAGCCAGAAATGACCGATCATGGCGAGAAGCTCAAGTGTTGGGTCACAGCACAACCGTAAGTTGACGTCATGCCGTTTGAAATCTAACACGTTATCCCTACTATTTGCCCTTACATCCACTCCCTCCCTCCCATTTCCCACCCCGATGCCGATCTCTACTTGCTTGGACTGTCTGTATTAGTAAAATATTTGATCGCCTGTCGTCTTGAGGAAGGGTAACAAGCGCAATGTTTTTCATGAGATCGGTTGGTGTCTTGATGTTTTTCTATTCGTCTCGATGCTCGATGCCGTTCTTTGTTTTTCTGTTATGTAGCCCACTGCTGTTGCTCCAAGACCCCCCAGAGGTCCGAACGTCCCTCCCGTATCTACGCTGGAGGATACTACTGAGATAATGGCATCTTCATTTGTTTGTCACGTGGTAGCTCGACCTCGCTGTCCAGCTATCTAGCATTGTCCTCCCTGCCCTCGTGATCAGCAGGAAGAAGAGCTGACCAGCAACCGAAGCGACGAGTCAGACGAAGATGACTCGGACGATGGAGAGGCGAGACCAGAGGACAAGGAAAACACGTCGCCAAACGATGGGTTAGGCCAATCGGCTGAGCGCGGGAAGGGTCGCGCCGGCCGAAAGCGTAAGAGGCAAACTGCTGCGAGAGCTCGGCGGCAAGCGCACGATGCGGAGGCGACACGGCGACAACGCATTCGCCAGTACTACAACGGGGCCACCCACGGGTCGGCATCCGCCGTGCAGCTATTTGCTATGGCAATGCAGGTATGGTCAACTCCGGGAAAACACCGATCCCCGCCGCCTCTCCCCGCCGCCTCCCCCCGCCCTTCTTTCCCCCACGTCTCAGACTCCCACTTGGGGAGAACATATCCAAGCCTGACATGAACAATCCCGCTTGATCTTTTATCGCAGCTCAACAAGGACACCAATGATCTGCTGTGGCTGGCCATCGTGGGACTTACCGACCAATACATTCATCAGGTACGCTGTGATCTTCTTTTAGTCGGTTGCTCGCACTAATCTGCTTGTGTTGTTCCAAAAAGGGGTTGGCTTAAATTCAGGAGATGTGCCGAAATTTGCTTGTTTTTCCACTTTGCCTTGAAGCTACATATCACTATTGGACATGCACTGATGGTCGAGTCTTTCGCTGTTGTTCCTGGTGGGACTGTCGGCAGAGAATCGACCAAGAAATCTACCACATGGTCGTGGCACAACTGCAACAACACGTGGTTGCAAAGAACAGCAAGACCAGCCTGGAGACAAGCTCGGCAGATGGCAAAACACTAGTGCCGGTATCGGAGATGGGAAGGATAACGTGTGACATGGAGTTCCGATTCATGCTTCATCGCCACTGGTCACTGTACGAGGTACGTGTTATCCTTGATGGCGTGATTACCCCTGATCTAAGGAAGACTCGTGACTCGTGACCCTCATCTTGCTTCGAGGTATGCAACTATTCCTCCGCAATTTAGTCTGGTTTGCTGCCCTCATGATTTCTACTCTTCACCTTTGCAGAGCATGTACTTTTCCAACTTCGTCGCCTCCAAGCTCAACGTATGGAATTCCAATGGACGTCACCGCCTTGAGGAGTTTCTGGCCAAGATGGGTTTCAGCCTTGAGCAGTGCAAGCAAAAATACCCGTTCATGAGCTGTCAGCTTCGGAAGCGTCTCCGGGATCAGATCGAGAAGTACGCTGAGGACTACGGCCTGCAAGACGTGTTCTATGGTATGTTGTGTTGGTTCATGGCGTGCGCTGCAGGCAAAAGTTTTTGTGCACATGATATGCTTGTATTCGTGACTTGTGCTAGTTCTTTCAATCCATGCCATTGTCCACAATGTACAACCAGCAGTAACGAGCAGATTTTTGGGCGTCTGAGAGCCAACCGTACCACAAAAGTATGGACACCCCTCAGTCAAACGGCAACTTGCTTCGGTGATGCTGTTTCCAGGATCATACCAGAGGTATTGTGGGTTCAAGAACCCACTGAGCGCTGCGGACATGGTGTACTGCATAACGGCCCTAGCGGAGCACAAGGACCTGGTAGGGGTTACCACGGAGCAGGTGCGTTCATGGTGCACTGGCCACACAATCGTTTGAGTCCTGCCTTATTCGTAAAAATGATGCTTGTGACATGTGGGACACCATTGCGGACAGCTTTACAACATGGCTTTTCACCAATGCGCTTCACCAGGGGCCCGGTGACTCGGCGAGCGTTGAGGAAGACGAAGGGGGATGGATAGACAGCTTCAACACAGCGTACGATGCTCTTTCCGGAAAGAGCTCCACGCTTTTGAAGCAGGGTCTTTCGCTGAGCATGTCTCTCCAGAGAGCTGTGGTTCAGCAAGCAGTAACAATGATGGAGAAGAGGAGCTTGACACTGTTCAAGCACTTTCGATACGCGTTCATCCGGAGTAGCGAGACGGACGAGCGGCTGTTCACGCAGCCAATGGCCCTGAGGAAGCTCGCAGCCTTCCTCATAGACGTGCACCGAGAGAACGGGAGGTGGGCGGGCGACAAGGCCAGACCCCTTGTCATCATGGCGGAGCGTGTATCGACGTACCTGGTGGTCGGTGTCACCTGCCCGAAGATTGCCGGAACGGTAGTCAAGAACCGATTCGGTGCGTGCTTCCAGCTTGCTGCTCAACAAATCCAAGCCCGAGCAAGGCATGATGGCTTTGAGGCCAGCGTGATGGAGATCAGCAAAGAGGATGTGCACGACTTCATACAAGCTTTACATGATACCATGAGTGCGTAGGTGTCCACATTTCTCTTGGTTTTCAGATAGGGATGAACGTGATAGCGTCAGTATCAATCAGGTTCGCGTAAGGAATCGAGGTTTGCACATGATTTAGCAGATGGTGTAGGTGTTTAGCGTCTCTTGTATGTAGTCCCTCCAATATGAAGTAGGTTTTTTGTTGGTCACCCCCTTGATTCGTACCCTCGTCAGCATCAGACGTTGGGCACGAATTCGATTCTCGGCGCAGTCACACGACCTTGAAATTATCCTGGCAAATACTCAAAAAGTTTCAAGATGGTGATCAGTCCGTGTGCGCTCAACGTTCGACTTCACGGTCGAAGGAAGGAGCGGCTGTCTATTCGACTATTCTTTGCTCCATTGGGCTTGCCACTGCTGTAATTCGTTGATCTCGAACACCATTGCTCTGAGGTAATGCAATACATACTGCCTGCATGTTGTCGTATCGACGAAATCTGATCAAAGCCCTTTGCTCTCTTCTACACTTCCTCTCTCTGCTCTCGCGTCCCTCATAACTGTACCTCTACTCCTCTAAAGGCGTCGCCTTCGTTGAGTTCACGTTCACACTCTCATTTTCTAGCCTTTCATGGCGATCCCCCTTCAGCGGTTTGCGTCTCGTTCCCTGCGCCATTCCCTCTTACACGGGGTTCTCTTCGGAACGCTTGCTGCGTCAACAGTACCTTTTCGTCCTCCACCTGGTTCCGGACCTTCTCCACTATTTAGCCTCTCAACCCGCTCTTCGCTAGGTACCATTTCGACACACGTGGGGCACCACCCTGTCTGTGCCATCGGAATGGCTTGGGTTACTGCAGGAGGCTTCACAACAGAGATCGACTTGATGAGGAGGTCTTTCTTCACCCGAGTACAGTTCGAGCACGTGTGACCAAATCCATCTTGTACAAGTGGTACAATCGATCAGTGCGTTGTAGAACCGGTGGAAGGAATATTCGACCGCAAGGTCGATCGATGCTCATGAACAAAAAATGTAGAAAAGCTTCTCCGCTTCGTTGCTGTCAAACGAAAGCGTGCACAGTTGATGGCAGACACCGTCGTTTTCATCGGGTGGGGGGGTCCAAAGTTGGGCGCTCATGGCGTTTCTACAGCTAAAGCTGGTTACCTACATATCATCGCAACAATAACAAACGTTCTACTCCGGCTGGCATCAAGTCTTTAAGTCAAGACTGTGACAGACTCGAAGTTGTCCGGTCCTCCGCAGATGCCACGCAAACCTTCACTGCGCAGATTCAACTTGGAATCTTTGGAAGAATCTCGGGAAAGCGGTCATTTTGTCATGTGTACCATAAAAACAACATGGAAACCCCTTCATTGAGCATCAGGAAACTGCAGGAAACTGCTCCATCGCACCCTCAACTCACCAACCCTGTCCAAGTACTTACTGCCCGTCGTCAACGGAAATAACATAAAAACATGGATGGGTGCTGAAGAAGGAAACGGCAAGAAGGAAGGCTGTCCGGTCCATAACCCGACTTGCGACCGGGGTCCGACTCCTCCTAACTACGTCGCGTGCTCCATGTTGGCGCAACACATTCAGGACTTCCGTCACTCCAAAGCAAGACAGCACGGCGATCCCCTCGCTTGTGCCCATAAAATCTACTAGGACGCTTGGCTCTATTCCGCTGCTTTCGCTGCCGCCTCTTCCGCCTCCTTGGCGGCCCTGGCTGCGTCTCTTTTTTCTTGTTCAATAGCATCCAGTGCATTCTGGGCATCAATCAGTTGTTGGTTCTTCTCGATTTCCTCCGGCGTTGCTTTTCTCACCTCCCCAAACTCCAAGTGCGCTTTGAACTTTTTCGGGTACTGCGGGTCCAGACAGAAAACATGGTTGAGGCAAAAATGTTGCAGTAACAAAGGTTCCACTATTAATAAGTACCCGAGCATCTTGGTAAACGAATTCGTGCGCATCAAGGACCCCATACACAGGGTGCCTCCTCGTGGTCCAAGGTATTTAGCATAACGTGCCTGATCCTTGGCTGTTTGCAACGCTAATCACAGTAATTGCCGTCGATGTTGATTGTCTGGGTCCTCGGAAACATCTTTGATATTTCGCAGGTATGTGTCACCCTTGGTTGGGAAACTTTGCCCGCGACCACACAAGGCATCCGCGTCAGTTGGACCCGGTTAGACGATGAGCAGCGACCGGAACGTGAACACGACGGCGATAACAACAACAACAACAACAACAACAACAACAACAACAACAACATACAAGCGCTGTATCAAGGCCGTGAAGAGATTGACACATTACTTCCACATGAGGGTGACAACCTTCAAAGTCCGTTCCCGGCACAGGATGTCTCTCCATCTCGTGATGTTGTACATACCAGGTGCTCGATCACAAGATTCTCGCTATGCTACGACGAATGAGGTGAGACCAGTCACCATCTAGAGACGCAGTCGTGATATTCTTAAGCACGGTTGGGCAGGAAACGCACAACTTCGCCGGTTCTTGGCAGAACACGAGACCATACGAGACCATCCTCAGTTGTGCACGCCCATCAATACCTGCGGTGCCGAGACCACCAGTACTTGGGAGGGGTTTATTTTCGACATACAATACCGACTAGAATCACAAAAAAACATCCTCCCGTGGAGGACTACGCGCTTTTTGGTGAATTGAGGTAGCGGTCAAAAGCGTCGCGTGGACGTTGTCCGTTATTGCGTTATTGGTCGATCGCAATGCTTACCGTGAAGGTGCACACCACGGGTCGGTGTGCAGTGGAAAACTCTCCCTCGTACTTCTTACTCATGATGTATAAGCTCGAGATCTGCCCGACACATCCCTCCGGGTCAAACCCGTCCTGCGTCGCGTGGAAAGCAGGGTTTCATGGTTTCGAGATGAATACATGCCCCGCGCAGCATGGAGCACGCGTTCAAAAGCAGGCGAAAGGTGATACAGGATCAAAAGTTTTTCGGGGGGTCGTGAAAGGTGCAAAGTTCTCGCTTGGTGTGATCACTGCAATTGAAACCGTGAGGACGAATCCCGGAGCGGTGGGGTTTCACGCCGAACTTGTGCAGTAGAATTATCACCCAGCAGTCCCCGGTTTGCTGGGATTAACCGTATGACGCAAACCAACGAGGGCTACCAACGGCCACAGGACGCAGCGAGCAAACGAACTCAAAACAATATTCTGGTGGGGCGTCCTCCGGACGGGAAGGAAGATGGTGCACAGGAATAACAGACGATGGTTGAACTGTCAACCAACATCGTGTAGAGGGCAACTGAGATGGCTAATATTGAAGAAACATGAACCTCCGACCGAACACCTGCTATTCCAGGACACCACCTTACCTCGCACGCCCTGGTAGCGGTCTTGTAGCAACTACTGCTACGTTACGGCTAAAACTACCAACGGGGGCCGCATCGCCATCTACCGCCAACAGCCACTGCCAAGCAACCGCTATTGTCAAGTGTCATGCATACTGTATCCCGTTTGTGTCGTCGAGAACAACACCTATATTTTTCATCTTGCTGCAACTATCACGTTAGAGATCCACTCAGTTGCACACTTCAGCAAGAAGATAAGGGTGTCAAGCGTGTCAACGGATGGGGACCTCCCCGCTAAGCTACATTGTAACTATTCTAGGTACAAGGAATGACTTTCTCACCTTGTGACCTCGGACGTGGTAGAACGTGAGACCTTTGGCGATTACTGTAATCGGATCCCCCTCCTTCAACCCGTCCGGATTCTTCTGGTAATCGTCCAACTGGTCATCGTTGATTTCTCCGTTTTCGTCATAAATGGGAATTCCAAACTCGTCCACCAGCACTCCATCCTGGTTCGATACCATTAGAACCCTCGATCTTGGTGCTCCTGCCAACAAGTAGCGAGATCAGAAGAGTTGTAGTTGAGATGTGGGCATTCCACTGGCTCCATTGCTGTACCCAAAACATGCAACTTCACATACGGTACAAGCTGGCGCGCGTGCGTCTTCCCGTTTGTACATGATTATTGAGCTTTCCTTCAACACTCTTGCTCATCAGGCGCGGGGTTGTGCAGAAGGTGTTCCTTCGTTCTCTCTCTGACTCTCTCAGACTCTGACTCTCGGAGGACCCCGCGCCTTTCCTCGGTGGTGCGCGGTCTTCAACTTTCGAACAAAGAATATGTCCTGCAGTAGACTGACTACTCAAGCCTCCACAACCGAAAAGTGAACCATCGCATGAAGAATTTCAACGACAACTACTATAGTAGCGGTCAACAACTGACACCACAACGCCGGAATTGGACTGATAACCTGCCCATCCACCTGGGATCAACTGCGCATGTTTACCAGGCGGACAGAGCTTACTCGGTACCGGCGTTGCTGATCGGCCGTGCAGTCGATAGCAAGCTTGCTGCACCAACGGGGCCCGTCCGTTTGCGATAAACGCTTCAGCATGACTGGAGAAGAACACTAGGGTAGCCCTATACACGAGGGTAGCACCCGAGAGGAGGTGTGAGCGAGGACGAGGGACGAAGGGGAGCGGGAAGGGCAGCGGGAAGGGAAGCGAGGATCAAATGACACACCGAACTTAGCGCGCTCTCTCACGTGCATGCTGAACTCCACACACACCTAGCCTTGCCATGTGATGCATCAACTCCTCACCCTACAAATGAAGCTGGTAAAATCATCCCTGAGCACAGATGGGAGCGGATCGAGGAAAGAGGATGACCACGGCCAGTGCTGAGTGAAAATGCGTTTATGACGATCAGGATTGTACAGCAGTGTATGTTATCAGAAGGTGGCCCCGTGGATGTACCGATATCATGGGTTTCCAAGAAATTGTGACGCCGCACGCTCCATGTGACGGTTCGAGCCTGAAGTGCGTTCCTCGAAACGACACATGAATGGTTGTTTGCTGGTGTGGACGAGACACAGGGAAACAGGGAAATGAGGGTAGCGACCACAATATCGCCGCCGGGACCATCGGCAGCGAGTACCCCGCAGAAAAATCAAGGGCGGGTTGGTGTGATCACCACACAGACCCGTGCTGGGCGACGTACTGTAGCTTGGACGGCTCACTTTCACGTGAATCGAGAAGGGTCATTTACGCCTAGGGATGGTAAGGAGTGAGGAGTGTACATAGTGCCGAGGGAGTGCATGGTAGTGTAGTACGGCAGCCACAGCGTCGATCACACTTTCGAAGTGCAGCTCCGCATATGTGGATGTGAAATAAGTGGACTGCATAAACTACTACCTGCACGCAGTTCATTCAGCACAGCTCTCAAGGTTATGAATCGTCAACCCACGACAGGCGCCCAAGAAGAAAGGAAACAAGCACCATCCCGACGGCGATGTACAAACCGGCGGTGGCAAAGGGCGTGACCAGTATGGTCGAAAATTCGGCAAGAAGCATGCATCCGCGATGATGGAGTTCACCAAAACGCTGTGGATGCAGGATGCGACAACATCTTTGCGCAACATCCTCAAGAACGAAGTTGCTCAGGTAACATCAAACGCTTGAGTCTTCTAGATGGAGGCGACATGCTCTTAGATGACTCGTGAGCGCTGAGATAGTACTGAGGGGAACCTCGTCGTCGCTGTCTGAAAGTATCCAACCCTCAACACGCAGTCAATACCAAGACTGATGTTTCCAACCCCCACCATGATGCTGAATTTGTTGAAGATGCGACCCTCATGCACACCATTGTCAGCATCCATTGTTGTAATGTAATTCTCATTTCACCGGCGAGACCAAAGGACCCCTTTTGCTGGATAGACTACATTCTGAGCCCAGTATTCGTTGTCAACTTTCATCGGGTGTACCAGCAGACATGCAAACAAACTTAGGCGTGTCTGCGGACATGTCTAGCATCGTTTTGCCGAGCCGTAACTGTGTTGGAGCCCGTTCTGTCGCAAGGCTGGCTATGTAGCACCACTGCTGTTACGACCCTGGAGTGGGCGATCTTCGGCTGTACGGATAGTCAAGGCACATTCTTCACAGCTTTTTAACCGCTTGTCCTAAAAATGGACGAGGATAATCTTTCTATTGTAATCTCTAGACAATCTGAACGATTACGATCCATCATAGTTATACTACTGCTGTAAGCGACACCGAGACTAGACTAAAACCTTTTCGCGCCCAGTAACCACAACGTTTTAACGCCGTCCCTTACCCGCAGGTTAAATTTCGCGAGTTCCTGTCCACTGAGTATGGTGAAGCGCAACTAGACTTTCTGCTCGAGGCCATGAAGCTTGAGAAGCTCGATGCCGGCGAGCAAGACCAGGCAGCAACCAAGGCAAGTTCTTCGACGGTTTGCCTGCCTGCTCTAAAAGGCTGGTAGGTATATGTAGTGGAAGTAGGAAACGCAAGTTGGAATCTTATCGCATTGCCTTTGTCCTTGGCGAAGGTTAATGACCGCGAACCCTTTCCCCAATGCCCAATAGGTGTACAAGGAGTTCGTGGCAGCGCAGGGCGCGGGAATCGGGCAGCAAGAACGGACAAAAGGAACGCAGCAGCTATGGGACTTTGCCAACTCCTCGAAGGTAGGCACGTGCCGTGCTTGCTTTGTGGCCCAGTGGCCCTATACACCCCACAGCACCACCCCAATAGCTCCCCGTGAGCAAAAGCCCTCTGTCTTCGTAGTAGCGTCACAGCCTTCTCTCTGTGATTATTCCTACATGTTTAAACACGAAGCGTGCGATGACGTGAAGACCGTGCGCCCACGCAGCTTTCACGCGAGTGGGCACCAGCGTCTTAGGAGAAAGGGAAGCACAATATTTGGCTTTTGGTGGTGTTCTCTGGAACAACAAAAGTTTCGTGCCGTAGATTCGTCGGTTGTGTGCTTGTATGTGTATGTGGTTGAGCAATATGTTCCCTCTTTGTTGGTGTTATGCGTACACGATACTCCAAGGTCCTGGTCATGTTTGACCTAGCTATCCCTCGCATGATCGTTCGTTTTGCGTTTTGAATGGGAGATTTTTGGAGATGAGGTGAACCAACGAAAGGATATGCTGAATTGCATCACTTTTTCCCGTGACATTTCCCCTCCTCACCCGCGGCGATATAGGTAAGTAGAAACAAACCCACTTAAAACAGTCGATGCCTCAACGAAATGACTAACGATGTCAAACTACGCTCATCGGCTTCCTGTGGGGGCTGTCACAGGGCGAAACCCTTGAGCCTGGTGTGGCGATGCAAAAGGTTCAGGAAGAAGCTGAAACTACCCTCGGCATGCTGGCATTTGACGCATTTCCGCGATTTCTGAAGTCAAAATACAGCAAGGCCGTCATGGAAGACCTCAAGACAGGGTCGAACCCCAACGAGGTGAATTGCGCAAAGATATTCGTTAGAAGTGACCGAAGCTCGCGTGGTTGGTCGGGAATGCGACCCCTCTTTTGTTCCGTACATGGTGATATTCCTGAAGAAGCGTACAGTAGGTCCTTCTTGCTCTTGGTGCTTTCGTTCTTTTTTGCCCAACACTCTCCGAAGAGGGTGGCAGAAGACTGTGGAGCACGTACAAAGGCCAGTCCCTTGGTTGGCCACACCTGCTGTGGTCGTTGGATAGTCGGTCATCGCGCTACGTGTCGTTGTCTCGGTTAATTCCACAGGTGGCAGCTCTCGAAGGAGCTATTAACACTTCTGAATCGAAGCAACCTGGTGACGCTGACGAATGGCTCAACATGTTCGTGTCCACCGCTGAGTTCTTCCCGGCGTGCATCGTCATCTCCGACATGACCATCCCTGGCGCCCCCATGGTGTACATCAATGGAGAGTTCACCAAGACCACCGGTTACACCAAGGAGGAGGCGGTCGGACGAAACTGCCGTTTCCTCCAGGGTCCAGAGACGGAGCCCGAGTCCATCGCCGTCATCCGCAACACTCTCTCCAAGGGTCAGGACTGCCACGTTAAGCTCACCAACTACCGCAAGAATGGCGAGAAGTTCCAGAACCTCCTGTCCATGAAGCCTGTGTTCGACGCAGACAACATTTACCGGTACGTGATCGGCGTGCAGTTCGAAATCCTCCAGGACGAAGGGTTGAAGAAGCGTCTGGTGCAGTTGGACAAGCTCCTGCGCCTGCTTCCTAGCCGACTGAACCTCAAGTCCAAGGCTAAGGCTAGAATGAGGGGGAAGATGGCTTCCAAAATGAACGGCGAGGTGTGTCTTGGGCCTTATACTCCGATGGTTCCACGGCAACCGGTAATGCTCTCGAAATTGTTCATGATGGAATCGTGAAGGATGTTGAAGCACAGTTGAAACCCTTGGTTCGTTCATGACCTGGAACGAATGTGTTTTTGCGAACATGTCCTCTACCTTTGCGCTCGTGCCTGGCTGCCGCTCCTCGTAGGCAAACTCGGCATTGCAAGACAAGGAGTCTATTGTCAAAGCTGAAGCTGCTGAGGGCGACGTGACTATGTCAGGCCCAAGGGCTATGGTCGAGGATGAGGTGCGTTTTGTTCCTTTCTTGGTCCACAAGCATCCTACCATTGCCGCTCTTTGTTTGTCAACTCTGAAGAGATGTGGTTTTGGTTCGAACTGCCAACAAACGAAATGTTCAGTATTGAAAGAAATTCACACCAGGTTCCGCCTTCGACTTAACCCCCTGTGCGTGTACCGGCGACAGGTTGACATGGACTGCGCCCGCATGAACTTCGACAACACGATATTTTCGTTCACGAGAATCATGTGGCTCAGTAACCCGACCAAGTACCTGTCTGCCCTCGTGGCCGACTGGCCATGCCGAGCTGTCCTCTCCGAGTTCGTCAAGACGTGTTCCGTGGTGTACGAGGGTCACTTCGAATTTTTCGTGCAGGTAAAAAACTGTTTTACAGCCCGGTACAACATTCGACCAGGCTAGCGATGTATGATATCAACTCTACCAAATATCGCCATATCCCTGCATTTTGACTCGCACATCACATCACGCCCGGACTTCCAACTTCCAAGAACAATCGTCGTTTCCTGCGCAGTCCGAAGTGCTCCGCAACACGCCTCCTGGGGACAAGGAAAAAGTGTCGAAGGCTATGCACCGGGTCATGGACCACAACCAGCTGTTTTATTGCACCAACAACGAGATCGTCATTGGCGACATGCCCAAGACCAACATGGACCCGATCCACGCCGAGGTACGTGTGATTTAAGGTGAAATTTCTTCCTGGGCTTGATTTGGGATTTAGACTGCCTGGAGTTGGCACTCTGTCGTGGTTTGAACCGGTTGAGTGACGGGATGACCCACACGCGAACTCACTTGACTTCATTATAAGGTGGCCTACATCCCCGATGGCGCGTGACCTCGCAGATTGAGTTGAAGGCACAGCAGTCCCTGTACTTCTTGGCACACGACATGTTTCCTCGCTTCCTGAACTCGAGATTCGGGCTGTCTCTCATCAAGCAGCTTCGCGCACGTGAAGTTGCTGGGGAGAAGGTGAGGGGTTAGTTTCGATATTCCTCGTCCAAGTAGCAGGGAGGGATATGACGGGTTGTAACTCGCTTTTTCGCCAGAACGTGAACAATGCCTCAAGACATCCCCCTGTGCCACTCTTTTCGTGCCAGCCGCCAATCAACACCGTCGCTCTAGACAAGAACTCGAGTTCTTCGCAGTTCTGGCTGGAAATGTTCAAGACCATGTCTGAGACGGTATCCATCGGGATGGTGGTGGCCGATATGAACGTCCCTGGATGTCCCCTCGCTTACGTAAACGAGGGATTCAAAACTCTCACCGGTGAGGAGAAACATACGTATTCCAGACTACCACAACGTGGTTCCACAATTCCCAGGAATGAAATGTGACCGAGGGCTGGTCCGTTCGTTAGCGCCAGGGGCTTGTTTGAAGTATCCTTGTGCCTCTTGCGCACAACATCAGACGTGATCTCCATCATAGTTTTTTTTCCATTCCTCACCCTCGTTGTCGCCGTGGTGTCACCTTTGAATTCGTTTCGAATCCTCTTCTCAATAATTTCCTGAAATATCAAGGCTACGGCAAGGAGAACATTGGACGAAACTGCAAGTTCTTGCAGGGGGAAGAAACCGAGGGGTACATGGTGGAGGAGATCATGCACGCTCTGCAGCAACACGAACCCCTGTGCTGCAAGCTTCACAACCACAAGGCTGACGGCCGAAAGTTCCAAAACCTCCTCTGCCTCCACCCTGTATTCGGCAAAGAAGGAGAGTACCTGTACCAAGTGAGTATCAGCGAACCTCTCAAGTACGTTCGTCGGTCATTGCTTCAGAAATTTGTCTCGTGCAAAACTGAAAGTCGGTTTAGTGCCACTTTCATTCCTTCGCCCCTCTTGAAAACTTTCGTGCCCTTGCACCCTCTACTTGCTTGCTTGTTTCCATCTTTTTTCATCTTCGTTCCTCCGACGGAAGTAGATCGGCATGCAGGTGGAGCTGCATTCGCACCCCGGCATGATGGCACAGCTCATGGAGATGGAACGAGTCCTGCGTCTCTTACCAAGCTGTGTCACCGGAGACAGCGGTGATGTGAGCCCGAGATACACGACAGGAAGGAGTCAAATCATCTTTAGAAAACACATATCGGTATCCTCGTACAAGCACTTGTTTCGGGAAAACGATATTTGTGTTGAAATTGTTTATGTTCCGGCGCTTGTCGGCCCTCCCTTTCATCTGCCAGGACATCCAACGCATAATCCCGGTGGATTACACCGGCGACGGAAACTTGCCTCCCCGTGTGTTAGACATGTCGGCTATTCCATCGACCGGGTCTGGAACGGGGGGCGGTATGGTGGGGGGTATGATGGGAATGCCTGGTATGGGTATGCCTCCGTCCGCGGCCGGAGGTGCGGCAAAGGCTGCTGACCAAGAGGTTGGAGATCAGATCAAATCTGAAATCACCGTGGGTGGCAAGAAGAATAAGACTCACTATGGGAAGAAATTCGGGAAGAAGCACAAGTCTGCCATGCTCGACTTCACCAAGTCACTGTGGATGCAGGATGCTGCTGCATCTCTCAAAAATGTTCTTAAGAGCGAGGTAAGCTCCCTGTTCGACCAAACACGAGCCATATGCAACTTCAGCAACGTGATGGCACTACTGCTCATTGTTGTTGTACGTCGTCTCTTCGAACCAGAGGCCAGGGAAAACCCGAATGGTGTGCAGTGCGTTCGTATTGATGACTATGGCGAACGTTGATCAGACTCCTCTGAACGTCTGCATCGACCATTTCCCGACAGGTGGCGCAGAAACAAATGCTTGCCTTCTTGGGGACCGAGTACGGCGACGCCCAGCTTGAATTCTTCCTTGAAGCGCAGAAGATGGCCGACCTCGAAGGACAGGCACAGCAGGATGCCGCCCTGAAAGTTTACACTCAGTTCGTTGCAGCCCAGGGGTCAGGCATAGGGGCCCAAGACCGCACCAAAGGAACCCAAGAGCTTTGGGACAAGTGCAACAAAGAAGCTGGTGATACGGTAGACGGCCCCACTGCTGTCGCGATTGTGACCGACGAGGCAGAGAAGACCCTCAATATGCTCGCCTTCGACGCTTTCCCCCGGTTCCTGAAGTCCAAATACTGCCAAGCCGTCATGGACGACCTCAAGAAGAAATCCGGCGGGGACGTGAGTAGTGCGTGGAATATGTATCTGTTGGCGTCATGATATTCGTTTCGTGCCTAATCCTCAATGTATTTGTTTGGAAGCTCACCCGCCGATCAAACGAATAAAACGACATTATTGGCATCCCCGGCTGTTCCCGGTCCCTGATCTTGATACGCGTGTAGTCGTCGGCACTGGAGGGTGCACTGTCCTCAGCTGGGTCGAATATGCCTCAAGACGCGGACGACTGGCTCAACATGTTCATCTCTTCGGCCGAGTCATTCCCGGCGTGCATCGTCATCTCCGACATGACCATCCCTGGCGCCCCCATGGTGTACATCAACGGAGAGTTCACCAAGACCACCGGTTACACCAAGGAGGAGGCGGTCGGACGAAACTGCCGTTTCCTCCAGGGTCCAGAGACGGAGCCCGAGTCCATCGCCGTCATCCGCAACACTCTCTCCAAGGGTCAGGACTGCCACGTTAAGCTCACCAACTACCGCAAGAATGGCGAGAAGTTCCAGAACCTCCTGTCCATGAAGCCTGTGTTCGACGCAGACAACATTTACCGGTACGTGATCGGCGTGCAGTTCGAAATCCTGGAAGACAAGGGGTTGAAGAAGCGTCTGGTGCAGTTGGACAAGCTCTTACGCCTGCTTCCTAGCCGACTGAACCTCAAGTCCAAGGCGTCGGCTCAGGCACGTGGCGCTTTGGCAGCGAAAACAACCGGTGAAGCCAACACTATGATTTCCGCTAAGGAGCAAATCCTGAGTGCTGGCGAGCAACGGGAAGATAAAGAGGCAGCGACAAGCGGCGCCCGTCCCAAGCAGAAGTTCAAGAAGAAAAAGAAGGCCGCGGGGTACGTACAGTCGCTTGCGCCGGCCAGATAATACGTGAAAAAATGTATTTTGGTCAGCACACCCCAGCAATATGCGTGTAAAGACCACTGGAAGCCCCTCTGGATCGTCGGACGTTCGCATGCTATTTTTCTTCCTTTGCAGGGCGACCCAGGCCGACAACTACGATGGTACAATCTTCGCCTTCACGAAGATCATGTGGCTGCAAGACGCCGTTACCACGCTGCGATCTATGCTCATGGACCAAGCAGGTTTCATGGCCTTCAATGGTTTCCTCAAGCAATGTGGCTCCCAATTGTCGCAGACTCACCTGCGTTTTTGGGTTGAAGCGCAACAGATTCTGATGTCCCAAGGACCGCAGCAGGTTGGTGTCAAACGCGCGCAAATACTACACAATACTCGGCAAACACGTTCACGTTAGTTTCGAGCAACAGAGGCGCACACCTAAAAGGTATTCCAGCACAACCCAGCTCTCTGTAGTTGCGACCCTCTGACGTCAAGCTCCCGAACCACCCTGATTGGGCTCGGGAGTGCTCCTCTAGACAATATCATTTTCGAGCGATCATTCCATCAAAGGAGCATGATTCTTGGAACTTCCTTTCTAGAGCACCTGGACTTTTTCATTCATGAAGTTGCCAAAAAAGACTCTCTGCCCCAGGCGCTGGGCTCCACTGAACCATATCCATGTACTCCTTGACGAACTCGAAACATCTACCAGGTTAAAGCCGCCCGGCAGTTGCACATGCGGATGTGGAAGAACTCGCTCTTCTACTGCACCACAAACGAGATCGCCATCGGCAATCTCAATCGCACCGGGTGGCCTCCCCTGATCCAGGAGATGGCTAGGTATTGGCAAGGTTTTTTTATCTTGACGGAGGTGTCGACCATGATACCTAGAGAGCGTCGTAACGTGGCACAACAAAATGATTGACGACTCGTTCCCCGAAATAATATGACCGAATCTGAGCCCATCAGGCAGTTTATGGGGGCGTCCGCCACAGGATGGTGCTTTACCATTGATGGTTGCGTGCACTGTGATCCACTCGTTTCCAGGTGGCAGGAACTGAGCCTGTACTTCCTGGCGCAGGACTGTTTCACTCGCTTTATGGAAGCCCCGCAATCCCGCGAGTTCGTGTATGCTCTTGTGCAGCGCGAGGTCAACGGAGAACAACTCCCCGTCAAGACTGTCTCCTTCGGGCTGGTTTGTTCTGCTACTCATCGTGCCCTAATTATGTTCTGTCCGTGTCTGCAAATCACCTGTGGTTGGATTTTGGGCGTTTTTCAGTCACAACGGGCGATTGCTACATTAGTATTCTGTTTTTGTGGATTTGCCGCCAACGATGTCAGCCGCAATACATAGGGGCATTACAGGCGTCGTACGAGTGGAAGTCTTGTTCACGCAACATCGCACTTCAAACTAGGCAAGGACAGTATGAATGCATGTGTGTTCCTAGCGCTGTTCTCACAGCCATGAACAACGTCTTTCTCGTTTCCAGGACCCGGATTCCCCGGGATACTGGATGGACATGCTCAAGGCGATGTCGGAAACCCTACGAATCGGGTTGGTGGTCAGCGACATGTTCGTCCCGGGTTGCCCGTTGGCATACCTCAACGAGGGCTTTACTGCCCAAACAGGTACGTACGTACTTGCGCGTCCGGCTAAATACACGATCATTTCCCGTCCGTATCATCGCCGTTAATTAAGAGACGACTTGTTGGAACGGTGATGCCAAATAGGTATCTAAATACTGCAGCACATGCTCCCGATATCGTGTGTACACTCGGAACTGTTTTGCCGGTGGCGGGCCCTGAGAGACGTAGTCCACCTACACTTTATTTTTTATTTTTTCATTTGCAGGATACGGCAAGGAGAACATCGGGCGTAACGCCAAGTTCCTTCAGGGCCCCATGACGGAGGGTTACATGGTCGAAGAGATCGTCGAATCGCTGCGCCACGCTGACCCGCTTTTCTGCAAGCTGCAGAACCACAAGCCAGACGGTTCTGTCTATCAGTTGTGTCTGTGCCTGACGCCCGTCTTCAACGTTGACGGTGAGGAGGGTGGAGAAGTCCTTGACCATCGTATTGTTAGGAGCTCGTTGTCGTTCACTTCGCATCAACAAATATGCTTGTACCAGTATTTTTTCCCATACTCTTTGAAGGCTTTTTCTTTGACAAAAGGCCACCATCAAGAAATCGTATGGGACGATCACAAAAAAGAAGGAACACGAAAGGCCAGACAAAGTCGCACCACCCGCAAACAAGCAATGTGACAGCCAGCAGAACCACACGCAAGCCTGGAAAATGAATACCAAACGTCTGTAGCGGCACACAATAGGTTGGGAAGTTGAATCCTGGCGGTGTTGATATTCACTTCACTGCCGTACCTAGTAGTAGTGTGACTGAACTCTTCTCGCGTTTTAAAGTGGGGCACCTCTGTTAGAGGCAAGGCCGAAGGTGAAATGCGAAAAACGAAAGTAAAGGAACTGAGGCAATGCAAAGAAAGATATCGAAATATTTGTAAGTAGAGCTCGGTGGTCCGCCCGGAAGCTGAGTCACAAACACATGAATACTACGGTCATACGGTTCAACATTGACTACTACGAGTTTGAGTATTAATCAGAAGAAGCTCGCTCCCCCACGGAGCCAGGGAGTATTCCTAGGCGGCTTTGTTTCCACGACCAGTCCAACCCCACTACAGCCCCCGAGGTGTTGTTCTATATTCACATTAGATGACCTTCCCTGTTCTTCAAGGCCCCCGTTCCAATCCATGTAACCTACGCAAAATCGAAGGCAAAACAAGATTGAACACATCATGCTCTATGTCCTAGGCCAAGTGGCGTCTCTACGCGCCATTTTACTACAATATGCCCAGATTTTCGACACGGATGTAGGTGGACTTGTATCTGAACACACTCATTTCCTTAAACACTTATGTTGTGCAGTGAAGCCCCTGTCCTTATGCCCCCCTATGAAAGCATGCTTTCCGCCATATTTTGTGCTGTCTGACCTTTGCGTCAGCCCTACTTTGATTTCTACAAGCTGTCCGTTATCACTTTGTGAAAATGCTTCTTCTGTCATGTCGACTAGTCTACCTCCAAATCGACAAGTTTCAGTTTTTTTTTTTATGTAGGAGAGTACAAGTATCAGATTGGATGCCAAGTCGACTACGACCCGAACAACCCGGAAACGCCGATGTTCATCATGGAACTTGAGCGGGTTGTCAGGAACTTGCCCCAGACTATCACAGGGGAAACCCCGAAGGCCATGCCCACCCGTACCCAGGTATGTGTAGTGGAATTCCATTTCCATTACGTAGGTACGTACATACCTAGTAGTTGTAATTGTTCCAGGTTCCAGCGAACGTCCGGTACCTTTCAATTACAACTAACCCTAAGCCCGTCGGTACTGTCAATAGTGTCGGATATACCCCGGCTCCAGAAATCCCATTTCCATCTTCCCTCTGGACGAAGTCAAACTCATGTCGCTCGCGGGGGTTGTTTCTCCGTGCGTTTGCTCGGGTCAACCGCTACTACAGGAGCTAGAGGACTTCCTCGCGTCGATAAGCGCCGGCGGGACGGGTGCTGGTCCAGGAGGGCTGACGGCTTCACCACCGTCGGGAAGTGCCCCCTCTGGTGGAGGGCACCCCAGGCCTGGCGCCTCGTGGACGCCCGCTTAAAAGATGGCACAGCTTGTACCACTAATAGTTACAAAGTACACATAGTACAATAAACGCGCGTACACACCGCCGTCCCGACCCTGGGTAACCTCACCTTCACGCACTGCTTCACATAGTTTTGAGAATGACGCTTCAAACAAGTGTCTGGAACTGTTCCTCCGTGGGGTGGTGGGTGGTGGATGATGGTGGTAAAAGCGCTGTCGTGCGGACCTTCGTCCAAGTGGGCGAAGGTGGATGCATCATATTTGTCAAGCTGGGGGGGAAGGTTAGATTGTCGAGCCAACGAAGCCCGGGTACTACTGCGTTCCCACAGGGCAACGAATCACAGCATGTAATTCGAGCTGGAAGTTGTTAGGGCAGAGGTTTGGAGTCCGTAGGCCTCGTTCGCAGATTTTGGTGAATTGTGCAAGAAACGTTAAAGGAGGTTTTCCTATATTTTTTCAGGTAGACTATAGGAAGCATCGAGGATCATGTTCCGCGGCGAACGCTGTCTGTATGGACAGGCGACCATTAACTGATAGGATACAGACACAACGAGGAGCTTGCGTGGGTACGTTCGCCAACGTTGGTGGACGAGGGAAGAAACGTACCGATATATGTTCTGACACCGAATCTCCACGGCCAATGTTAGATTGATCTCGGACGCCATCATGTCCAAAGCCGCACCACCACAAAAGTCAGCACAACATCCGCCCGCCCCAAGCAACGTCTGGAGTGTTCTATCCGCGGACGAAGGTCGGTCCGTGCGGTAACGTTGATTTATATGCAGCCGTGAGACGGGAGGTATCCTTCATATCACGCAACCCTCTTTGAGACCTTGCTGTAGCATCTTTAGGAGAGACATAAATAGATCGGCGTATTTATCGCATTTCGTTGCAACGCGAAGAAAGCTACATTGGGCAACTCTCTCTACCCCAAGAGGTTGTCCCAAAATTCAACACCGCGTGTGCGCTTGGGCGACGGCTGTCCTACTTTTGCGCCACTTATTCGACGGTCTACACTCCGCGATCGCTCGGGGACAACATTCCCCTTCCCATCTAACAAGCGCAATAGCGGAAATCCTTCCCGGTTTACCGGAGGAGGGGTCAAAGGTACAGGTAATGTCCACCGCCTAGAGGAAGCCGTCAACACTCGAGCTTCGGGTGTCCCTACACGACTTCTTGCTCGCAGTCTCACAGGCGAAGGTACAGGTGCAGGCGGGTTGACGGACGAAATTCCTCTCGCCTCTTGAGGTTGGACCATCCACAACCCACGATTAACAGCTGGGCGATCGACACCAGATTCGCAAGTTGGCCTGTCAACCCTGGCCCCGAAAACTGGTAGGTTGCTTCCGTGCAGCATGCTGTCAGCGGCGCCAGGCTGGACCTGGTGATGCTGTCCTCTGCTTGGTAGCCCCAGGCACTCGGGGTCTTCTGTTGGGTACAGGCGCCTTTTCCTGCGCTGGAGTGTCTCGAGCCCCTGGCTCACCTTCGGCATCGTGAAGAACATGGGCGTTGTTTGGACATGAAGGCGCTTATTGGAAAACACGGCGGTACCAAGTCGGTTTTCTGTGCAGTACAGGAGGCGAGCACCACGATAAGATGAAGGGCGTTTTACTGATTCCATCCACGTCTCCATTCATCGCAGTTGCAGGCGGCGTCACACACAAGACTACAGTACATTCCCGAAAGCCCGGTTGCGTGTCTTAGCAATCATTGTCCTCCCCGTCGACGACTCAGGCTGAATTTAAATCGTGTAAACCCACGAACTAGTACCTTCTGGATAGCGTCATGTCCTACTTTGTGCCCCCAACCGACCGTGCCGTATTTCGAAGCTAGCCTTCGAACCCCGGGGGTGACCTCACGCGTACTTTTTCACTCAATTTCCCTGTAATGCGTATGCGTCTGTCGAAATCAATCGTGGTCGGACGAGTCAAAGGAACACTACACTTGTGTGTACGATAAACACAAAAAAACAAAGGTACGCAAGGGTGCGCCACTCTTGATAGAAATATGCAAAAGATACTGTACTGAACACAGCCCAAGACATATCTCAGTGAGATCTCACCTGTGTGCTTCGAAAGTGCTGGGCAGAAGCAGGTACGAACTTGGCTTGGTCAGCAACTGGAAGCGCTCCGGTCAACGCTAGTAGACCTTGCCGCACGTTCGCCTAGCATGCGCGCAACACGATCGAGCGCACCTTAAGTCAAAATCTACGGGAAGCGGCCTCGCACGTCTGACACAGCCCCGCGTAGCATCGCCGTCTTGTTGACGCGCTTCGGAAAGAGTCTGTCCGTTCTGCTTTTAGAACGACACTCTTCGCGCAGCAAACTCCACAACATACACCCGTGCGTGCCCGGGTGTTTTATACTGTAATGCGTGAACTCACCTCACGAGCGTGGTCTTGGTTGGTCTCACGACTATTCGGCTTCCTGTTCGCCGATTCTTCCGCGGCAGGGTACATGTATCCATCATTTTTGTGTCCATTGTGTCTCGCGTCCGCAGTTTCATCACTCTCCACCGAAAGTCGTTGGCCCCAGCCCTCGCCGGTGGTCCTGCTCTGTAGCCCCAACCCCACGACGGGCCATTGCTGCCAGCCCATGGCCTTCCCGTCAGCCATGTGTCCCTTCTCATCCTGCGAATGGGAAGCAAAGGGCCACAACGTCTCCTCTCCTCTCGCACGACACGGAGGTTCATCTCCACGAGATGTCCCCGAGGATTCCAGTACAACCGACCGGACGGTCGGCGAAAAACCTAATGCGGGCTCGGCGTACTGTTCCCCCCCTCGTATTCGCACCAAGTCGAGACCCTGGCTTTGGCGTCTCTCCTCCCGCCCCCCAAGGCGTGTTGGATCACTTTCCGCGGCTCTCCAATCATCGCCGCGCACACACGCTTCCGACACACTTGGCTGATGGCGGTTGACGCCAGTTGCCCAACCGGATGCCGTGTCGCTTGATGCTACGCCCCATCCCACCAATCCCTGGGGAGCGGTGACATCATCGTGGGTCACAAACGGTAGCTCCCTGAGGGCAGGTCTACTCGCGCAGAAGGGGCTATCGATGAACGCTCGAGACAAAGGAGACTGCACCGAAGGCATGGGACCAACTTGACGTTCACCATCCTCCTCCACACGTTGATCCCAACGTGTACCGCCAGCGATCCCTGCTCCGTCCGCAACAGCCGCCGCCGCCGCGGGGGACAGCGTGGTAGTGGCGTCGACGGGCGACTTCTTCTGGGCTTCGGGCGAGGGCGGTGGAAAGCAGGGCACGCCATGCTCCAGAGGTGCTGCTGTTTCGTACGGCTGGTGGCTTGTCGGCAGCAAACGCCCCGAGCCCACACCTGACAATACCCGTTGGGCAGAAAAGTGTTACAGAGTCGAGATTCCACTTTCAAACCGCTGATAGCTCCAAAGCGCACCCAAATCTTGACAGACGTAACCAAAGAGTGTAAGAGATCAACAACACGCAAGCAAGTGTTCAGTCTTGAGCTCGGCCTCAGGTACATTACATTTGCTTCGTACCTTACCTAGCACCGGGCGTTTCACGCCGTGAGCGTGATTTGGGAAGATGTATACTGCGGAACCCTTCTCGAGGCGAAAAAGAAGGTAAGCACTAAAGGGGAGTCTTTGTGTATGACCACTGCGAGCGACTGAAAACAAATAGCACAAAAACAGGAACAAAGAAAAAAAAATGAGTACGACATGAACGGAATGTGGTAAGGAACCCACGACGGGGCACTGCAGCCGAAACATTCAAACGGATGGTAGCTTGCAGCTCTGTTTCCGAAAACTTGGAATGGTGTGACTAAAAGCGACCACGCCTGGAACTCTAGACGGCACGTATGCTTACACCGTCCGTAGTCCTATGTCGGTTCACCTTGTGCGATGGGGGGTTGTAGATGTTCACCCAAGAAACGAAGGTTGTCCAACTCCTTGGCCGTGTTCCCGATCGGCATGAGATGCATTGTGGTCTAAGGGGTCGGTCAAGGGGAGAAGGGGTACTTCCGTCAGTCACATAGTATTTGCACCTGGACATCGAGCAGCCGAGCAGGTACCATTGACGAACTCAAGGTGCTGAATGTGTAGCAGTGTTGATTCACTTGAAGCATCCGCCCTACGTGTGATGAGAAACGCCATTTTTCTCTGCCGAAGACCAGTTCGCTTGTAGTCGGACCCCTGTCGTTCGAAGACCTCAAAAAAAGAAGCACAAGCAGTTACTTGACCCGCGTAACGACCGGAAAGGCCTCGTGCTTTCATCGTTGAAACTTCGAGCAAACCCCGACAATGAGTGGACACACCCGTGCCGTATGAATTCCAGAGCACTGCACTATTGCCGAAACTAACACTTCATTGGAACAGATTCTCGAGAAAAATAAACGGCTCCAAACCGCCGTCCTAAACACCGAACGAACAATGTCCTACCTCTGTCTCCGGATTGTAGATGATGTGATGTCGAAAAGTCAGTCGCGCCCTTTTGTATTGTTCCCAGTATCCCTCCGGTATGACGAACCTTGAGGAGTTTATAGCGCCGATGATCTGTAGACGAGGGCGAAAGAAGAGGGCGAAAGGAGCACATACATCAAGGAGACGTGCACCTTCGCCAACTTCTCAAGGGGCGTGGGCTTTTCAAGGTACCAGATACTAGCCCACCCTGCGATGCTGACTACTAGTTCACCCATGTGCTCATACACTTACAGCAGTAACCGCTGATGCAGTGAGTGCAGGAAATGAACTCCCGGAGCGGGTTAATATTGCGAGCTGATCGACCTCCCGCCCCACAGACAAGCTCAACTTGCGGGAGGGACCCCTGGATCGAAATTAATGCAAACAACTGCTCATTGTCGATGATCAGATAGGCTCATCGTGCCCAGCAGTTGTCTCGAAAATCATGTGTTACGGTAACAAGCCTCAACCACCAATGGATCCGTTGAACGCGTGATTGCGGCTGCTTACCTTGTCCAGGCTCCGATGTCTATCGACGAGCTTGTATGCAGTTGCGATGCCCAGTCCTTTGACGGAAGTAGGTATGTAGTCACACCCCACCAGAAGACAGAGATCCAAAAACTGTCCGGAGAATTCCAAGCAAGCAATGCTGGTGAGATTGATGTGATGTACTAATATTTGGATACAATGTCCATTTTTTTTTGTCCGGTCAATCTGACGTTGTCGTGTGTATCTCAGTTACCTAGGCGTAGCAAGCAGGGACACCCTTTTCGAGTACTTCGCGCCAGCTCCCACACACAATTGAATCATGCACTAGCACCGATCATAGCGCCTTTGAAAAACTTAAAACATCACCCTCAACGATTATTGGCTCACCATGCTGTTCTTCCAGTTGCTCAACGAAAGCGGTGTGTTTGCAGTAAGATTTCTCAGCTGAATTTCTTGCCCGTGGCCCTCGTTGTCCATCTTGAACAGCACCTGTTCGGGTCAATGCATCTCGACTCACTGTTGTCTGTACCCTAAGTATATCACCTTGCAGCCGGCAGGAAAGAGCACATTTCGCACCGGAAAACATGCGCGCAACGCACCATGCGACACCAGCAAATCTAGAGAGTCGTGTCCAGAGTCGCGTGAACACCCCGATGCCCACGAGGGTGGACGCGTAGCAGACGACCCCTACCATGGATCTTACTTTCTTGCACCCATAAGGAAGGCAATCGGAATCCTCCGATAGTACAACATCCACAGCACCGGTTCGGCTGAGGAATGCCAGCTGCGCATCTGCTTCGTAGGGCGCCACGATGAGCTCTACCCCCGCTTGCCGCAACGCCTGCATCAAATAAGTTCGTGCAGATTGAATCAATAGTATCAACTGAAATAAAGTTGTGCGAAAGTTCGAGGCATTGTGGTCGGGGTCCGGGAAATCATGGAGGAAGAAGCCTTGGTATGTCGGTATGACCAGCAACTCAAATACTAGCGCAGGAATGGTCCATGTGTACCGCCACGAAACGTTTGGATCTCATGTGATGTGATGTGCTCTGCTTGCGTGAGAGTAACATCTAGCAAGGGCATATGCAGCAGGATAGTACAGCGCACGTTAGCGAAGCGTGGTGGTGCAACTTTGCTGCGGTAGACATCCTGGAACTTCCATTTCATTACAGACAAGCACGTCGATCAGATGGCTACCAACAAATAAGTAGACTTAATGATCAGTGCACGCGCTCGAACATCGACGCGCTCCGCAAGAGGCAATTAAATGAAGATATGCTATCTGGGGGTTGGACGCTCGACATACACTGCTCCAATAAAAACAAACGGAGCTGCGCACAAGCTCCAGATAAAAAACGCTTGACAGCGAAATCACCTTCATCAAGTGGAAGGCCATGTCGTGCGTCACTCCGACGGCCTTGGAGAAGTGTTGGGCAGCTGCGCCCGCTTCCCCCGCCGCTAGCGCTGCCTCACCCTTGCTCCTCGCCGACTCTCTCTGTCTGGCATCGAAGCATCAATACATGGAAAGAGACAAAAAGGTTCGAGCCATGCAGGTTAGCTGTGACTCTGCGACCGTTGTGATTGCAGAAGATGAGTAGCAGTGGCAGGATCCTCTGCCCTTGTGACCCTAGTTGGACATCCATGGTCGTACCGCCCCGCCCCAACATCTCGGTGTGAACGCGCGAGCTACTATTATATGTTGCTTATCACGATCGTAGCGTTGGTGTTGTGAATGGAACAATCTCCAAGGCAACGTAGATACTCGCTTTATTCCCACAACGGCGCAGCCCATGTCGCCTGAGCCACACATAGGAAACCAACATACGAGTGTACCGCACCTCCGGCGCTCCAGAGTTATTCTCCTTTTTATGGGTAGGCTTGCACCATCGAACACCATGACGGGCTGGATCCCGTGGTGCAGTAGGAGGTTTACACGCTTCATACAAAAAGCGACGTACCTGAGCGCAAGTGAGGACGGAGGATTGAGCGGTTTAGGGGTTCAAGAGGAAGGGTCTGGAGCTGAAGATATCGCTCACCATCGTCACCCGGGGCCAACAACAACAACAACAGCAGTGGTTCAAACTCAAGCGATAGAGGCCTTCGTTGCTTCCGCCCTCATCCCATCGCCGGGTGACACCGCCGTTCTGTTTATTTGGCCTGGACAATGAACATGCCAGTGGATGCGCTGCTTTCCCCGGAAATCTGTACACTAGGGCTTCACAGCGCCCTTCGCATCACAAAACTCTCACTTGTCGGTGGCCACACCAGTGCAGAGCTCCATCCCGCAGCTAAAAGCACCACGATGAAGCCTGCTCTTCCAGCCAGCACAAAGTGGACAGAAACGTTTTGTTCACCCTCCTAGTACTCAGATAGTCATCAGTTAGTAACAGGTTGTGGGTCCAGCAAAAATCGCGTCCGCTCACTGAGAGAGGCTGTACAATCCCGAGGGACGAAGCCTGACTTGGCTTCAGTACGGAAAGTGTCCCCAAATCAACTGGGGACACTTTCTACACTGAAGTCAAGTCTGCATTTTTTTCCAGTACCAGGCTATGTACAGCAGTGTTACCACCTAGGGGACATGCGGCTTGGGAGATACGTGTACAGCAAGTCAGAAGCCGAGGAGAGGCACACAGGCATCACATAGCAGTGTATCACACAAACATGCTAGACCAAGGTTTCCACGCGCGGTTGACGCAGCGGAGCATAGTAACGACTACGGTGCGGTAAACACACAACTGAGTGCTGTATCCCCGTGTCCCCATTTTTACCGCTCTGTACCACATACGCATACACCGCAAACGTCGGAGTTCCCCCCCCCCAGTAGAGTTTTCCCCTCCGTCCATTACTTTTTCGGCCTGGAAGCATGGTTTCTTTGATTTAGCCCCGGGGTAGATCGTTTTCGACCAAAAAAAAAGGATCCCCCCGGGTATTTCCATTTCCCCCCGGGGTACCATGTTTCCCACGAGTTCCCCTCGGGGGGGATGCATTCCTCTAATTTTCTGAGTCGATTTCGTTGCATCGCGGAGCACAACAAGCATGATGTGGGACGAAAGAACTATTCGCAGATCTGCGCTTCGAGCGAGATTTAGGTATACCGTTTGTCACTGGAAGGCGGGCCGTTCCTCTTCTTGGAATCACTTGCGGGACGAGACAAACTCCCTCAGCTGCTGTCCTCCTTGCTGTATTTTTTCTCTTCGCCTTCGTTGCTTTTACGTTCCTCCTCCCTCTGCTTGTGCTCGTAAACCTTATCCATCTCAGTCTCACCACTCTGTGTGTTTGGTGTGTGGACCATAACTTTTTTGCACAACCCCGCGGGGGGGGGCTCCCCCCGCGTAGCGTTGGGAAAAAAAACAACCCCCCCACGGTACGCCCCCCCCCCGGTGTTGCCGTCGGGGTTGGGTTTTCGTCGCTTGGCAACGACGTTGTAAAACAAGCCGCCCCCCCCGGTGTTTGCCATCGGGGTTGGGTTTTCGTCGCTTGGCAACGACGTTGTAAAACAAGCCGCCCCCCCCGGTGTTTGCCATCGGGGTTGGGTTTTCGTCGCTTGGCAACGACGTTGTAAAACAAGCCGCCCCCCCCGGTGTTTGCCATCGGGATTGGGTTTTCGTCGCTTGGCAACGACGTTGTAAAACAAGCCAATTCACTTCGTGAACTCGGCAACCAGGTTACCGTTTTTTTTTTTTTCCTCCGTTTATTTTTTTTGGGCGGTAACCATAATGATGGTTGAGTAGATCATGTTGTGCGGGGTGAACCCTCACTCCGCGCAAGGGGGATGATCGCACCACGTTGTGTTAAAATGGTCAAGCACCCTCGAGGCAGTCACACAGTGCTTACAACTGTCTCTGGAAACGAA